GGTAGAGGGATAGAAGGGATAGGAGACGTACTCCCTTCTTATGAATCTGAATCCTAGACCGCTGGGAAACGGGGAGAGTACTTTCTGTGGTTGTTCATTTTCAATGGCTATAGAGGGGCTGATGAAGAGTAAGAGAATGGAGGAAAGTGAGAGAAGTCGCATGATTGTGGGGTATTATGCTGTTTTACGACTTTATCTGTGAGAGTGAAATTGAACAGCTTTGAGATGTACTTAGGTATGAATTTTAGGAAGTGAAGGGGGGATATTTCAATTTCAACTGACCCCTCAGTTCTAGGGATTTTGATAGACGTCATTCGAGCCTAAGGCACCCATAGATAATGTATGTCAGATTTTACGAGCAGTTTATGGGAATACAAAGATTGATGTCTGTGATTGGCCAATAAACAAAGCATTTCACATTTCTACACTCGGGAAACATGGAAGCTGGCATCGTGGGAAGTGTCTGGCTGATAATAGGTACTGTACTTCGCATGAGCTTAGAGTTGCATTGAAAACTTTCATACAATGGCAACTTCGCAAGACCTTCGGCTCTCCACAGTCTGAATAGTACAGTAACAAAGGAATTATTCATGATTATCTATTAGTGTCTCGCACTGAGACGTCTGCAACTGCTTATCCCATGTGGTCGAAGCTTCCCGTGAAGTTTGTAACTTGTAAGGACCATTAACTCGGAGTTGGAGCTTCCTGTATGTGGCTCGTTATTTTACGCCCTCTCCTCCCATAGTGATGATTTATAGAGAAAATCGCGATTTAGCTGAAGGATTGGTTGTTACTGAAATATCAACTAGGACGAAGTGGTTCTGGTGGTGGAAAGGGGTGGATGGTTGCGAGGACCTCTTCAAAAAACACTGTAAATGATTTATTTTGATATCAGAATAGAAAAAGAAATATGCTTCATACTTACGAAATCAAAGTCTGTGATTCTCGATGTTGAATCTTTCAGTAGTAAGTGGAGTTAGTGCGGTTGACAAGCAATGGTAGTCAGGATGAAACCGTTCAAGAAAGACACAACGCATTTATCATACGAGATAACACCACGTCATAGAATAAGCCAAAGAGCTTTCTGCCGACCTGCACTTCGTACGCCTGATCTCAGAACGAATTTGAACGATGAGTATCATTAAAAATTGGTATGTAATTCGGTATGAAATGTGTCGTGCTAGCCTTGTCTCCTGCCATTCTCCAGACGCAAACCAAAAAAGGCCCTCCCCTTTTAATCTCTCTCTCTCTCTCTCGCTACAACTGTATATTGCAGCTGCAGAAGTCGTCGAAAAGCGAAATGCATTTCCCTTCCAAGACAGCCTGTGATGTATTAGTGACTAGGCTCAAGATTCAAAGGAGTGGGATACTACTAACATTCGGGAAGCACGTGGTGTTACATGCGATCTGAACTTGTTTTGGGACGCAGGGCTTCTTGTCAGCAGCCATGCTGAAAGTGGCGAGAGTGAGGGTGATGAGAATTGTGAAGGACTTCATGTTGGGAAGGTAAATGAAACTGTTTTTTTAATGGAGATGCTTAGTGGAAAGGTTTGCAGTTGAGAATATTGATTGAATGAAGATAGATACCTTCCAATGTGGTTCCTATATACTGTGGTAGCTCTTTTACGAGAGATTCTATACTTATACTGGACCGTGCGAGGGTTGGTCCCTTTGGTGTTTGATACTTCAAACTTCAGATGATACGAACTAGTTGACAATCTAAGCTCGTATTCCTCGCACTTCATCTGAAGTAGTTGCCATGGAAGGTCTTCAGAGGGTGGTACCCTGTAAGCCTCTTAAACATTGCAAGTAAGAGAAGATTTTAGAAGTGCACTAGCAAACATTTCGACGGAGAACAAGTATACTTAGAAACGGGTCTTCTAGGCGATTGTGAATAACTGTTTCGCGTAAACAGCTTCTTCGTCCACTAAGCAATATGACATATGACATAGAATCTGCAAGCGTTAGCAGGAGTTGCAAGGTAGTCCGTGTGTGTAAGTTCGGCTTAAATGGAAGTATTCTGGAATCACTAGCCGTCCTCGTAAATAGGTGAAGCGCTGCACTGCCCGAATTAGTGACTGGCTAGCGGGATGCTTATGATATTGATAGGTTGCGAGATATGGCGTATTATTTTTTCTGTATGATTTAGACAATTACAGGATTTATGGGGTTCCAAACAACGTGCTAGTTACTGATTGAATTGCAAGTCCCGACTCCCTTTGCATGGTACGGTGGTGTGATGGAGTTAGAGATAAGCTGAGACCGTGAAAACCTCTTGTCTTGTAATGATCGAGTAAAGCAGTAAAAACGGACTACGGACTTTGGTCCGATCGCTAGGCGCTTTTGAACTCCTCTATCTTTAGTATAGGTCTAAGCTTGGGTGTCAGAATGCGTATCACCGCTGTCAAATATAAATGATCCAAACTTCCATGATTAGAATTCAAGTACGGAGTAGACCCCTAGTTCCGTGCTCGTTAACTACACAGACCCCAAACTCTCTCGTATCAAGGTAGCCGCTTGCTATTGAACAGCTCCTGAAAGGTAAAGCAAGGTCATTCAACGGGGTGGCAGATGTCCCAAGATAGCACCTAGTCGACGCAAAGCCTTTGTTTGTTCAACTGCCTGAGGTGCGTCCCGCAACTCTTCAACTTCCTTACGAGCCTCTTTCACTAAAGGTAACAAATCTCCCCAAACCTCGTCTGCATAGCGTGTCAAGACTCCCTCCCATTGCTCCCTCCATTCTTCCGTTGATTCTATATTCACATCATGTACTCCATGACCATTGACCTGTCCCATGGCATCCGCACCGAAGCTTGGTCTCAAGTTGAGTGGATGATCAAGAGGAACCGCTCCATGGGGTTCAGGCGGGGGAAACAAATCTTTTGTCATAGCTCTCAATTCAACAATCTGTTTTCCTGAAAGTCCCCAGGATTGATTCGTACCGGTATCATCTTGCGGTTCTTCGAATTGCTCATCCAAGGAATTGGGATCCGATAAGATGGCAAGAACCGCTTCTCCATCCCTTTTTTCTTGTTCTTCTACAGAACTAAGGGCAACTGGTGCTGGAGCTGGGATATGCGCAGCAGGAGCGGCTTGAGATCTTGCCCAAGCATACTCAAAAGCATCATTGACTCCCCTTTCTATCTTCTCGCTGCTAGTGGGCTGCTCAGATGGTGTAAAGGAATCAATCCCATCCAGGAAATTCGAAAATTCTTGTTCAGATTCGTTGACGTGGAGTTCGCTGTGACCGAGCCTAAAATTTCCTGTTGCATTTCCGCTAATTTGAGGTTGGGTCTGGGCTTGCTTTGAGCTCTCTTCCCAAGAAGAATTACCGCCTACCCTCGCGCTTGAAGATGGTCCTTTTCCCGAATTAGAAAGGGCAGAATTGGTGGTGTCGCTTATTTCTTTGCTGGTAGGAGCTGAGAAAGCACCCTTGGAGAGACCACTTGCTGAAGCTGCTATTCTGGATATCATTGAAGGACCCTCAGATGTTTTGTTTGGCATCAGTTGTGTTTCTTCGCTGCTTCCTTGGTCACTAGCCCGCTCCTTTCCTTTTCCTGTGCTCATGTTGCGAGTCTCTATTTCTAAATTGAGCTCTAAGGGCCAGGGTGGGTTATGCACAGCTTCTCGCTTCGGATAATATCGGCTTGATCAAAGAAAGGGATACTATTTTTCGGGTGAGACCCTTGGGTCTTCAGGATTATGTGTTGTCCGAGGTCACTTTGAGCTCAAAGTTGATGTAGTGGTGGAAGAGGCATGTGAAACTCATAATTCTGGAAATTCACATTTCCTAGTTTTTGATTAACAATTCCATGTCTTTTTAATCGCTGTCCATATCCTGAACCATACCTTAGGAAGCCCCGAGTTTATTCATATTTCCAGGTACTGATGTAGGACGTGGTTTCTTACGGATATTCAAGGTTGACTTGTTGAAATTATCATGTGACTATGGGCTGTTCGGAATAATAATCGGGCCGCTCTATCCAATCACACGACATCAGTAATCATTCACTCGTTCTTCCGTTAATCCATTTTTCTTTAGGCCGACCTCGGGGGAGCACGGCGCGCACCTTGACAAAGCAGAACCTTATGGCGTGGCCAGAGAGCAGAGTGAATAATGTGGGGGAGGAACCTTGAATTCTGCGACGGGAGTTTTAAAACTACCCCTCCTCCCTTTGCACTTTTCGCTCAGAAAATCCTTTCCTCGATCCTCGAATGCAAAGCGACTTTACGGAATTCCCACGGCTGAGGAGTATCGGACAAGATCTGTTTACTCCTTGCGTCTGGACCGACCAAGCCCTCGCCTTCTTGCCGTTGCCCGCTTGAAAGCATGCTTCCTCCTCTTCCCGTTCTGAGCGAATATGGAATATCACCAGATTATGGGTTTCTTCCAGCTCAGCTACCTTTGGAGCGACTCCCCGACCCCTACTACAACAAATGGGAGGCTATCATAGCCAACTTGCAAGGCTTGATCCTCAGCAAGCGCCTTCGCGGCGTGATAGAGAGGCTCCCTGTTCTTTCAACCATCGGTCTGGAACACGACTCGGAATGGCGAAGAGCGTACTCAATTTTGAGCTTCATGGCCCACGGCTACATCTGGGGTGGTGACAACCCATCAGAGGTTTGTACAAGTCTTTGCCCGTGTCCTAGTAATTGCTAACCTCTCAAAGCGTTTGCCGGCCTCTATCTCAGTCCCCTTCCTCCAAGTTTCCGCCTACCTCGAGGTGCCACCTGTAGCCACCTACGCGGCAGTTTGCCTCTGGAATTTCAAGCCATTGTTTGCCGATGAGCACGTCGACAATCTCGACAATCTTGCAACACTCACGACGTTTACTGGATCGATTGACGAGTCATGGTTCTACTTAGTGTCCGTGGCGATTGAGGCTCGAGCGGCGCCTATCTTGCCAATCATGCTTACCGCAATAGACGCGGCGAGAATCGATGACAGCATTACAGTGACAGCTTGCCTAAGAAGTTTTGCCGAAAGGTTGGATGATCTTGGAACGCTGCTGCAGCGTATGCATGAAAGTTGTGACCCCCATGTCTTCTATCATCGCATTCGACCCTTTCTTGCTGGCAGCAAGAATATGAAGGAAGCTGGATTATCAAATGGCGTATTGTACCAAGATGCGGATGGTACCGAAACGTATCGTCAATACAGTGGTGGCAGTAATGCGCAAAGTTCCATACTTCAGTTTTTTGATATTGTACTTGGAATAATTCATCGTCCTACTGGTGAAAAGAAGGACGTAGTTTCTGGACCCCAGGGCAAAGGTCTTGCCTTTCCGCCAGAGCACAACTTCTTGCTCGATATGCGCAATTATATGCCTGGGCCTCACCGGAGATTTCTGGAAGATGTCACTGCGGTTGCAAATATTCGCGAATACATTGAAGCTCATCAGAACAATGTGGGGCTTACTGCTGCTTATGATGCATGTCTTGCCATGCTTCAAGAATTCCGCAATAAGCATATTAACATAGTCACACGATATATTATCCTCAAAACTCGCGAGACAAGATCCCGCTCAAAGAGCCCAGAGGCTACACGCCACAAGGTAAATCTTGCTACTGCATCTCGTCAAGACGCGAACGATACTACAGGTAAGAAACAAGCGAAAGGAACTGGTGGAACAGCTCTCCTGCCCTTCTTGAAGCAAGCACGCGATGAGACTGGGGAACCCATCCTGAGTCAATGGGCGAAGCGTGTAGCTAGTAGGGAGGTCAACACCAGAGGACAGGGTGATTTCTTTTTGGGCAAACTTGACGAGCCAGTTGAAGAAGTCGATTGTGGACTTGCTGGAACTTGGACCATCGACGATAGTGGTGGCGGATTATGCCACTACTGATTGATGAATCTGGAAGGTATACTTCAATATATTATGGATAGATAATCAATAAACTGCTTTTTTGGATTCTCTTGCCGTTTTTTTAGAACACTTGAGTTTGAGGTGATTCTTATTTTTATCATTCCTGTATCAAGCTATTCCAACTAGCTTAACAGCAATTCAAGAAAACGAAGGAAATAAGAGCGGGAAATGTATTATTATCACGTGTCATGGCAAGAAGTCGTGACGCCAAGAATTTCAGGACATGCGCGTCGTCGCGCGACTTGTGAACCATTCTGGTGATTGGTTGCAACGCAACTCTTGATTCATTATTCATACTTCCGACAACATTGCTATGGCTCAACCTGTTCCCGGTGAGGAAGGCATGGGTCCTTTGGAAAAGGGTCGCCGCCGATACCAAAAGAAGGATTTCCCAGCAGCTTTGTTCGCTTTCACCGATGTAGGTCATCATCGATTCCGTTCCGCGACTATATTTTCTTACGCTTCATAATAAGGCAGTGAATATAAGCACTTCGCATATCTTGATGACGGCTCTGGATCATCGAGCCGCCACCTATGAAAAGCTGGAGCAGTTACAACCAGCCCTTCGAGATGCGAAAAGGATGATTGATCTGATGCCGGACACGTCAAAGGTTGGCCTCACTATTTCTCATTCTATATGTTTGATACTAATGATATAAAGGGGTACCTCCGATGCGGCAAAATCTTGAAACTTCAAGGGCAAAATGCTCTTGCTTTGAAAATCTACGAACGTGGTCTGAAAAAGGTCAAGATTGGAAGTGATGACGATCGAACGGTAAGAATTAAATGACTAATCCTATTATTCCTAGCTAAACATGAACAAGCTTCTTCAATCGATGTTTAACGCATTGAAGCGTGCACAAGAACCAGAAAAGAATCTCGATCCTTTACAATTTCTGCCTCTTGAGCTTGCACAGCTAGTCTGTCATCATCTCAGTATGAGAGACAGAGTGTGAGTGCTTTGATTTCAAACTAGGCCAAAATACTAATTTTTTGCAAGAATTTGCCTGGCGGTCTCACGATCTTGGAAACGACTACTTGAGTCATCCCACAAACTGTGGACTACATTGGATACTACATCCGCTCGCAAGCCCATCAGTCTCAGGTCCATCAAAGCCCACCTTAAGAGGTCGAATTATACGCTCGAACGTGTAGTGATCACCATGAAAGCGCGTCTCGATTCAGAGAAAATAGGATATCTCACCAAAACGTGCAAGAGTCTTCGCTTATTGGAAATGAATGGCAGTGGTGCTATAGGCACCTCGCTTATTTTTGCATTGCCAAGAGCTAAAAGCTTAGAGTCCATTGCTGTGTCTAGGAATACTGAGATTACTATGACTGATGTACAGGCAGCTTTGAGATGCTGCCAAGCGACGTTACTTGAAGCCAAGTTTCTACAAATAGGTGGTCATTTTCAGGTCAGCAATAGCTTGGGTTTTCCCAGGCTCGAAAAGCTTCAGACGCTTGTTTTGTGTGTTGCCAATAGACATATGAATAGCAGTCGGGATACGAGTCCCGTAAGTTCTTTTATTTCCATTGCCCTAAGATCCTGTCTGTCAACACAGCTGACATCATTTAAGTCTGTAATCATAGAAGCTTGTCCAAATCTAGTTTCACTGACGTTGAGTGGATGGGATTGCTCCTCTTCTGGAATTGGGGGACTTGCGTTACGGAACGGGTTACGAGAGCTGGATCTTTCAAACACGCTTCTCAGGATCTTTCCCCAGCTTCCACCAACCATTACTCGTTTGATACTAAAAGGTAATCCACTACTGAAAGACGCAGACCTGGAAGTGGACGAACTCACCGAATCCGATTATTTCCTTCCCCTGCTTGAAGAGTTCAACTGCGAGGGCACTGATATTAGTGATAAATTCATCATGAGGATAACCCAGCCTTCAATTGAGCGCAAGAACCTACGTATCCTCCTGATTGGACGTCGATTGAGCGTGCTTCTTCCTGACCCAAGCCGTGTGGCTGAACGAATGTATCCAACCTCAACTACTGTCCAACACCTGTCTTTGGCGAGCCTGCAGGAACCAGAGAACCACATCATAGAAGCAGTAAAGCTATTCCCAAACCTGCAAAAGCTCGATGTGTCCTTGACAAAGATCACGGGCGTTGCTGTGAAGATGTTCGTCAAAATGGGAATAGAGAGACTCGTATTAAACGAGTGTGACCACGTCTCCGGTGATGCCGTGGACTGGGCACGAGGTCAAGGGGTAGAAGTCGAGTACAACTTTCCAAGTCGAGTTGAAGGCTCAAGGTCAGGCTGGAGGAACGCCATTAGCTGAGGCTTATAGATGAGAAGCGAGGATATCTGATAGGATAATATTCATACAATTTTGAGTCTCAATGCTCAAGGACCCCCCTTTGAAACCTGCGGATTTTTACAATGTGCAGATCACGCACATATTATAGATCTCTTGAGCGTACTCCAAAGAGGTTGGTTACGGAAATAGTGGTCGTTTTCAGTATATCTTCACCAAAGAGTGTAAAATAATTGTACATATCAGGACTATGAGACTTGGTCATCGCTCTGCGTGCGATTACAAATATAAGGAAACATTGTGACAGGATACCAAGAATTATCCGTATAACCGACCCAGAGCATATTTACCCTAGAGTATTTGTAGGATTGATTCGACTGTGCAATGTAAGTCTTTCTACTATAGCGTTGTCTTCAAATAGGTGTACATGACGTAGAGTGATTGCAAGGTCTCTTGTAGCCTAGAGGAGACTATCAATAATTAGTAATGCCGTAGACCTAATCCTTTGAAAGTATCCGCCGTTTACCAAGCTTCTTTAAGCAATAATGCTTAATCTTCCTAGTCTTAATTCTTACTGAAAAGAATTTCGAGATAAATTGGAATGTCGGGGAGGCTTATTTCCGTTCTATAATGGTTTTAGACACCGAGTCTTAATAACTCTGTGTCCGGTACAGCAGTTGAATGGAACCCATCGCCTGACTTGTGCAGCTTACAGAACCAGCAAAATTCCACCGAGAAGCGGCCTTCATGCTGAAGTCATCAACGCCACAGCTGGTCAAATATGACAAAAGTCCTTCAGCGACACTCGTCCCAAGCGTGCGACTATCGTCACCACATCGCCACCAAGCTAATCACAGCCCAAGGACTTTACGCGCATTAAACTACATCATCCCAAGCCCAAACACATCACACCCGCATCCGCATCCAAAGAGTCCGTCAGCAATCCAGCAGTGCCAGCACCAAGCTTACACACTTCTCCGCCGTAAGCGAGCTTTATTCTAAGCGCCTAAGAAGTAATCAAGGAATAACTTGAGCTCTTCTAAGCACTCAGCGTCTGCGCCACCACGTCGTAGAACTGGGTTGTGGCCGACGCATAGGAAATATCCCATAGACCGAGAATTTGGGGGACACGAATGAGTTGAAGATGCTTACATGCATCGATCTCATGAGGTTACAGCCACTCCGCTCTTATGTTCAGGAGTTGATCAGTGCTTTATGTCTCATTCCGCGACAGGAACGGAGTATTTATGACGTTTCAACTGCCGTATTTGGATGGGGAAGTGACTGTATACCGATGACGGACGAGTTGGAGATCATTTGCTGTAGTTTTCTTTATTTTGCAATGTGTATAGAAGATGTGACCAGGGCCTACAGACACGCCATTAGTCTTATTTTTCTTTTGCTTGGCTAGGGTATAGAACAGACGACTAAGTAACTGAATGGAGCCTTTTTGCAAAGACTGTGGCACTGTGCTCCCTCTTCTGGACAAGTATTTCCTTGGTCTCGGAGCTATGATATACACTTGTTCCTATTATTTCATCTTCTGAAGCTGTCGGAACTTCGCGGTTTATTGCTTTTTGGGACTTTTCTAGATATACCCCATGAGATTTGCTGGATCATCGTCATCTTGGATAGTGATATAAAGTATACAAGTGCATTAGATAGACTTCTATTGCAAGAATATATGAGCCATGTCAGCGAGCAAAGGGAAGAAAAATAAAAGAATAATTTCATTGACCTTTGACTAAAATTAAGAGAATGGGCACACTAGGTAGGTCACTTCACCATTCCTACCTACTCCGACGCCAGCTTTGCCATATATCGTCTCTGGCGATAGCAAGTATCTTCAGTATGGAAACGCCAAGGACTCAGCTACCTATTCACGGTGTTTGGCGTCGGCACGTCGCGTACTTGCGAATGCCTTCATCAAAGTGGGTCCGGTCCGCCTCTACCCTCTGCCCACAACCCCACACCCTTCCTTGAAAATTAAGACCACAAATAACACAGGCTGTTCTCAACCAATGGGCTCCGGCGTGGGCGCCACCAGTTCGGCCACCTGGTAAAGTGGAACGCTCCCTATATGGAAAAGCACGACTGGAAGTTGGTTACGGACAATGTGCCAAGGACGGATAGAGATTTAGGGCGGGCGGGCCCGAACTCTTTTGCCACTTGAATATACTGTTTTTAATTTTTTTTGTTTTGTTTGTAACTTTTGCGTGGTTTTTGGGGTGTTTTTGTTTTTGGCTGTTGTCGCGTCGCTAAGCGAGAACTTTTGGGAGACCTTGGATATTGGTCTGTGCGTTCCCAAGTACTGTCAAGGGGGCTTGAGGTGGGTTATGTTTATGGTCGTGGTTGATATCTAGATGGAAGGAAGTACGACATGCAGTGCTGATATCCTAGTTGGGACTTAGGGTACGAGATGCAGGTGGTTGAGGGTGCCTTCGAGGTTCCATTTGGACAGATTTCAACTTCTCTCTAGGATCCGAGACTATCCTCAAGTCATGGTCGCACCGTCCCACCCACTCGCACTCGCCTCTTATCTTGCCTCTCCTCTAACCGAGTCGACATGCTATGCCTCTACAGTACTAGGCAATTTATCTGAGACTATCGAGGGCCGCATCTAATTAATTTCTGGTTATTAGGACCGCAAAGGTAGCCGCCTGCTTTCTTCGTAGAAGTAGTGGTGGTAGGTCATTTAGTGTTGAACCCCTCATGAATGTTTTCTTCAAAGCACTATAGAGGAGAACAAGTCGATATCCAATGCGTAATCAATCCTTCTCTGTGCTACTGCAGGTTTTACTTAAGCAGTAAGTTGCTTGGCCATTTTTCTCATAGCCTCCATTTCATTCCGTCCCACTATTACAATACCAACAAACAGCTAAAGGTATAGCTGATGCGATGATGGTTAAGGCGGGAACCAAGATAAGTTTCACAATGATAATAAACTGAAATTGAGAAAGTCCAATAGTGTATAATTGTGATCAATGTAAGTAATCAGGGGCACGATAAGTGAGGACGATAAATAGAAAATTTCTACCTTCGAATAAATGGACTTACGTACTCCTTATATAAAGATAAAGGAACACTTCTAGCTAGTAGTACAATAAGACGTTAGTGGCAATCGGTATACACATACGAACTCTAATACCAAATGTTTAACCCTTACTGGCGAGACTCGATTATCGCGAGACTCTGAGATCTCAAGCACACAGTAGATCCCGCCCCTCCCACTATCAGAGTACAGTATAAGCCTCCCTCGCCCTCAAATACCTACCTAATCCTATTTTGCCCTTGGAATTAAAAGTCGGGTGATGGCTCAGTGATGGGCTCATGGTACTTTTTGCCCTCCTAATACACTCCTTCAATTAACACACTTCAACACTTAAATCATATCTGCTCTTTTACTTTAATTCGCAAAAGTTTCGCCTGGCCGTCTTTTACCTACCTAGTTGGGTCTTCGTTTAAGGCTCGCTTGAAGTGAATAGGGTGGAAAGCCGAAGGTGGACACTGTCACATAGTTCGTATTACAGAAAATACTATACCCCCCAGATCCGAGTCGCTGATTCGCTGGTTTTGCTCAGAAATCGGGGCCGATCCGATCCGTTAATATAAACAGGCCAGGGGTTCAATCGGTGTGTCTAACCTCTTTACCTTCTGATAACATCAGGTTCCATTTATAGCTCTGCGAGATCTTTCGCTCCCTGTGCTCTTGTGTTGTCGCATCACATCATAATCGCCAATTCATGCCTACTGCTAGACCCTCAACCACGGTGTGGAGGGTTTCTTTTTCTCCTGCCTCGTTAAATACTCTGATCCTCCTCCGTGACTTTAAACCATTCAATAAAGGAGCTCTTCAAACAAGCATGGTATGAAAACACGAATCCCCATTGGTCTATTGCCAATTGCTGTGATGCTTTCGAGAGGTGCTGAAAACTTAGAGGGACTCCTCCGATTGATGAAGTTGTAAAGAGCCTTGGGAAGAACGAGTCGAGGCAACTGAGTATTTGTTACCTGTGACCGACTACCTCTGGGTCTCCTGAGGAACTAAAAGGCCCTGAGAATAAGGATTGGTCATATGAATTATTATATATCTATATGCTCGTAAGATAGGCGGGCACTGCTCTGTACAAGCTATCAAAAGTCATTATACCAAAAATCTGGCACAAGTAACTCAATTGTCCCAGTTTACCTCGCATAATAAGAAATGAAAAGTAACAATTATTCTAAACTATTCGTAAAATTGTTTCAGTTGTGTGAGATCTTTAGGATAATACTCTTTTTATAACTCAGGTGTGTACAGAGTAATGCCCGCCTCTCTTACGTGTACTTAAACGAACCTCTGGCTACCCTTCGCGTAACTCATGGAATAAACATTAGAGCTATACCAAGACAAGAAACCACCCCAGTACACATCAGAAAGGAAGATTTCAATACCACTGAAAAGGGTGATCAATGATCCTGTTCCAACCCAAAGTATGTCTTAAGCAATAAAAACCCTCGAGGATTTCCAAGAATACATATGAGCCTCAACGCAGCATCAAGACCTAATCCCCACTCAAGAAGAGGTCTTTCAATTGGCCTCTAAAACCAACATCAGGTTTCTCTACAAACCCATCGCCTCTACCTCCTCCTTCGTACTCCCCTCCTATCAAAAACCAACAAAATCACATGATCCAAATAAGCTGCGAGTAAGCTGATGCTACCATCCACACCCATCCATCCATCCCTACCCACACCTAGTCCAGTCCACCCATCCTTACCAATCAAAAAAAGAAGAGTCAAAAAAGACGCGTATTACAAATCTCACCCCCTTACCAGATCTTCAAAACCCCCGACTTCAAGAACCCCTCAGTCTAAAACTATGTAAATACACAGAAAAAAGAAACCTATCAGTATTTCCCACCAACCAATCTGGTCCACTCATGAAAAAGAGATAAAACTAGTAAAACCCAGGGATATCTCGATACCATTCTATGTTATATCGTACTAGGGTAACTAGGCTGTACAACATACAACACCAAATCCACCCGTCCCACCACACGTACAAATCCAACGGGGGCCAGGGTCAGGGCCAGGCAACCCATCCCCTCATTCCATTTCAGCCTTACAGCCAAGCAAGCAAGCACATCCCAAACAACCTCCCCACCCCCTTTCCATTCCCCTTTCCGCCCCCAAAACTACAGGCTCATTCACAAAAAACGCACGCCCAAAGTCCTCACATCCCATGAACAGGCAAGAAAATGTTCAAAAGGTTCAAAAAGTTCAAGGCGAACGCTTCTTCCCATCACACAAGGAACCCCCCA